TGTTTGATTTATCACTGCACCACCTTCTGGCCACTGGTCTGATTGTTTCACTTGGTACTTCTCTATGATGGTATCAGATATTAAACATGGCAGAATATTTCAGCTGTATGAAACTATCTGGTGATATAATTTGTCTATGCTGTCTTTTATTTGCACAAATAACTTGACATTAGTAATAAGATACTTGTAAGATGCATGCAACATACAATAAGCATTGCATTGTCACCAAGCCAAAAAGTGATTATTTACAATGATATGGGTGTGCATGCATTGCATATGTGTTTGTAGGCTAGTTATCTACTGTTAATTTAGTAGTGCCAGAAAGCTGAGAGCAATTCTTACAGGAATCTCTCTATGTTCTGGGCTAGTACATTTGCCAATGAGAAAAATAAATAAGAAACTTGGAAGGTGAAAATAAAGTGGGTAGTCATTATTTTCTAGATCATGGTAGTCAGACAGGGCTTTGTAATATCTGCACAAGCCCTCCACTTTTGGGCTGTCTGATGAAGCAATTTTGCAACTGTTCTGTAAATGACTATAATAGTTTTGTACCGTCATGGTGACAAATAAAGCCTCTTTTCAGGTTTCCCCATATTAACCATCAACTTCTCTCTTCTTGCCAAAGCTCTAGGCGAACCTCCTCTGGCTGCAGTCTTACAGATCCCTTCAGACCTCCCCACATTAACCTGCAACTTCTCTCCTTCAAAGCTTTAGGCTGACATTCTCTAGCTGCAGTCTTACAGATCTTTCTCCTCACATGCACATAATCCCTAATACCTACTTCGACACCGATGTCTTCAATATTTATAGTGATTCTATTTTCCTGACTGATCCAGGCTATGATACTATAACTAGATCATACATGTTGGCTGGATCATCCATGGCAATCCCAGTTTCATTGATGTATCTTATAACGCCCTGAAGAATCCCAGGTATTCCAACAGTATCAGTGTCTAAAATTCTTCACACTCCTGCCCCCTCCCCCCCCACACACAAAAACAAACTGATAATAACTAATATTGGTGAGGAGGTGGAAATAAGAACAACTTTATTCATTGCTGGTCAGAATGGAAAATTGTACAATAACTTTGGAAGACAGTTTGGCAGATTCTTACAAAGCTAAACATTGTCTTAGCATACAATCCATCTGCTGTGCTCCTAGTTATTTACTGTCTTGAAAATTATATTTGCAAAAAACCACAAATATTTATAGAAGCTTTATTCATAATCATCAAAAAGTAGAAACCACTAAAAATCTTTTAAAAGGTAAATGAGTAAACAGGGAGGATTTTTTTCTTAACACAGAGAAACGTTAATTGCACAGTTATAAGTAAAAGGCATTTGTCTGAAAAGGCTAAACACTATATGACTATATTGTATAACATTCTGGGAAAGGCAAAACCATAAATACAGTAAAAAAAGCAGTAGTTATCAGGAGTTCAGGGGAGAGGTAAGTAGGTGATGCCCAGAGGGGTTTTTAGTGTGCCAGAAGTATTCTATGATACTATAAACAATGGATACATAACATTATGCACTTATTAAAAAGCACAGAACCTTAAAAAATCATTTAGGAGGACAAGAATCAAAGAAAAATTCAGGCTGTGACAACAGACTCTACCGGTATTGAATGTATAGCTGTATTATATATCTATGAGACAAACTTACTGAAGAGTGTGAGTAAAAAAATGCTGTCCTAAATAACTTTGGGAATGAATGGAATGAGTAAGATTAAAAACAAAAGAAATTGCACATAAACACTGTACTCTAGTTGATAGATTATTTCTCATCCAGTTGCAGGCTAACAATTTTATAAGGCCATATATGTTGGAATTACTGGAATTAAACAAATAAATAAATGGATGGGGGATGGAAGGACCCATGTTGTTCACTGTTGAAGTGAGAATTTACAGATAAGTAAGGGGAGAGGCTAAAATGGGGTGATGGGTTAGAGCTGGAGACATCAGACAGAATTCCTTACTTATTATACATACAAATGTTTACATACACAAATATTTATAGATATATGTATACATACAAGTTAATATATTTCTTTACTCTATGTCTTAATTAGGTTCTTTAAATACCTCCTCCATGATTTGGAGAGACTATGGAAATAAAAATTGTATTATTTATACATCCTGGGGTACAGGGCATACCCAGAGGCCACACACATACGGAGGACAGGAAGTGCATGGGGGAGAGACTCCCAGGCCAATGGCTTTACCAGGTCCAGAATATTTTCCAAACAGATCATCCACAGGCAGTCTTAATTGGTGGGTTTAGAATGAGCAGTCACAAGTTCCAGTAGGTCATGCTGTGACTGAAAGGTGGTCCCTGAGCTATAACTGCACAGTCCCTGCAGGGTGTGAGGTCAGATTATATACACTGGTTCCGTATAGAGGTGGCAACCAGGAGGAAGTTGTATAAGGCAACTATCTAGACAGACCACAGTGAGAAATTGGGAGGAGGTATAGAACTGAAATGGTCAAGGTGGCTGAGCCACTTATACTCCAGACGGATGTTGAGGCAACATAATAGAGTAAGAGTTCACTATACTTGGTCAGCTGAGGGCCTAAAAGAAATGACACCCCAGTAAAAAGAAACACATCTGGTGTCCAGATCTTGGTTTCTAATACCATCCTCCGTGAAAGGTAAACTGGATTCTTTGAATAAATGATTGATTCTAGGACTGAGTCAAGAAATACCTGAGAGAAGGGCTGGCAGGTGGCATAGTGGTTGAGGGTGCTGGACTTCCACATGGCTGACCATGGTTCTAGTTCCAGACCTGGCAGCTCGCTTTCTCATTTTCCCCCTCTCTCCTTCTCTCTCTCTCTCACACACACTCTGTCCCTCTCTGGTCAATTAAAATAAATAAATAAAGTTAAATCAAGTAATTCTTTTTTTTTTTTAAAAAGAAATACATGAGAGAAGCTTGGAACATCTATCTGGTAGTGCCAGAAAGTAAGGAAGTGCTCACAAACAAAACACACTGGTAGAGAAATGCCGAAAGGGCACAAGAGCTGGTTGAAGGCACTCATGATGGCCAAAACTAGAGCAATGTAAGCAACAAAATAGAGTAATAGTAGATCATAACCCCAAGTATAAGAGTACCCATGAATTCACACTGCTATCCATAAATGACTAAATACATAGTAGGTCAACAGGAAAGTCATGACCTATGTTTCTATGTTTTTCTATGCAAAAATGCATCATGACTTTCCAGACAACCCAATAAACGGGTGAGCAGTGACCTTTCTCCTATGCAGAAGGATTCCAAATAAATTACATAAATATTTCAGGGATATCTATATAAGGAAGGTGAGCATAATTCTCCACTCCTTAAATATAGGTAGTACGTTAATGACTTTCTTCCAAAGAGTACAGTATGGAAAGGGGAGATATCATAGTCCATTATTCCACTGCTTACTGAAATATCTGAGATTGGGTGATTTAAGAGAAATAGAGGTTTACTTAGCCCATGGTTTGGAGGTCTGAGGTCCAGAGGATCTCAGCCTAATGGTTTTATCCATATTCAAAGGCCACATCCTCCGATACCATGAAATAATTAAGTTTTTACTTAATACTCTTATAATAAAACCAACATCCAATCACTACCCACTAAAACCAAATCCAAAGTATTAATCTTTAAGGGATAATCAATTATCCAACTTAACAAGAGTAAGTTTATAGTGGAGAAATCTACAAATGCTTCTTCTGCCAGGTGATCAAGGTCGATACTAATAGTCACAAATCATGCTGATGGTATGTACCCTTGATACAATATGACATGGTACTCTGTGATTTTCCTCTCCAGTCAAACCCAAGTTTAATCATCAGAAAAATATCAAACAAATGTGAATAGAAGGGGACTCTCCTTGACTAGGAATCTTCGTAACCTTCAAAGTAATCAAAAACAAGAAAAAGTCTGAGAAATTGTCACAACCAAGAGGAGCCTAAAAAGACAGGACAATTAAATGTTATGTGTATACTAGGTAAGATCTTAGAATAGGAAAAAAGACATTAGGTAAAAGCCAAGGAAATCTAAATAAAATCATCCCCTTACCCTAATTGCCTATAGATACTATCCTCTGAATTGTAGAGCATGTATATTCTGACAGTATAAGTGATGTAAGAATTTTGGAAATTCAAAGATTTTGCTTGAGATAATTTCTAACAAAGCATTTACTCCTCAGTTAACATTAACTGCAGTGCTGTTTTGATACAGATTGATCCATACATTTTTCTAAGCACTTATTTTCCACCTGCCAAATATTGGGAATAATGAACATGTTTTAGCTCCTGCCTTGAAGTGAATAAATGGAGAAAAAAATAAGGCAGATTTAAAAAATTAATAATCTTGATGACTTTTAGTGTCACAAAATGATTATTACATAACCACATCATTCTTTATACTGTGTGACTTTAAAATAGGGTAACAGGGACCAGCAGGAAGTGGTGTAGTGGTTATGTTGTTGGACTCCCACATGGCTGACCACAGTTTGAGTCCCAGACCCAGTGGCTTAAAAAATCATGACGGGCATGAGCATGCTCAAGATCCTGGGAGGAGAATGGAGGAAAAGGGATTGCAGTGTGACCATTCCCCCAGGGAAGGTGGAGTGGTGATTTCTCACTTTCCTTCTCACCATGTGTGTCTCTCTCTGGCGAATGCATGCACCCCCAGGAAAAAAATCCTCTCAAAAAAAAGAAAATACCAGGAGTAACAGTTATAGAGTTGTGAGGCCAGCAGATGGCGTACTGGTTATGTTGCTGGACTCCCACATGGCCGACTGAGGTACAAGTTTCAGATTGGTGGCTCAAGAATCACACTGCGACAATATGATTGAAAGTATATACCAAAAAAAACAAATAATAATGTGAAAAAAAAATAAAAGAAGCTTTAAAAATAAAATAAAAAAAAAAAAAAGAATCACACTGCATGTGTGTCTGTGCATGCCCAAGATACTGGGAGACTAGAGGAGAAGGGATTGTGGTGTGGCCATCTCTCCTGAGGGATTTCTCACTTTTTCTCTAACTGTCCCTATGTCTTTCTCTCTCTTCAGTAAGCACATACACTGTAAAGCAAAAACTTAAAAAAAAAAAAGTTACAGAGTAGTTAGGGTTAATTTCCTCATGTACTTAGAAAAATGCCTGGCATATTGGAAGTGGTCTATAATATTAATTATTTTCATTTTTAATGAAATTGACTTGGAATTTAGAGAACCCTCTTCAATGCCTGCGGCAGAACAACTTCCAGGCAATTCTCTTAAAGCAATTCTCATCAGTCCTCACTCATCGCTCACCATTTCTATATCCTGCTGATTTATACATACTTCTTCATACCATTTTGGATGTTTTTGCTTAATATCAAGGAGAATGAATTCCATAGCAGGGCCAAATTCAATGATACTAGAAACCTCATTTTGGTATTCATAAGCAAAACCAGCGGTATGCATGGCCACCAGCGAACCATTTGAATCAAACACTGGAGAGCCAGAAGCCCCAAAGTAAAAACTGGTGTCATAGGTAATCACATCTGGTCTGTGAATGATTTCTGAGAAGCTTCTTTGAGTGAACATATGGATATACTGTGTAGAACCCTCCTCTATTCTAGCCTGAATGTGTTCCTGACACTTCTGTTCTCGTTGACCCTGAGGGATCACAGAACATCCATCAGTGGACTTTTTCCCCCCATATGGATGGCCAATAATATATATCAAGCCACTTAGTGGTGAAGGAGCAATTCCATTATATAGACCCACAGGCACTTGTTCCCCATTTTCCTTCAGTTTCAGGACAGCATAGTCATAATCTGTATCAGAGATCTCATACCAAGGTTCAACAGAAAAGCAGTTCTCTTTTTCTGGGAACTCTTCATAAGTAAATGTCACCCTTACACATTGACCAATTATGTCTGCCCACTTCTCTTGGTCGATTCCTTCTACAATGTCATCTATTACATGTCGGCATGTGAAAATGAATAATCCTGTGAAAACGAAGCAGGTGGCAGAGCCGCTATTTCCATTATTGTCCCAGAAAATAAATCCAACTGAGTCACTGAGACGTGAGAGACATTTGACTACTTTAACAGGAGTAGAGTTTTTTGTCAGTTTCCCAAAGTTTGTCTTATGCACCATAAATAATTCTTTCCCCTTTATTTTTTTCATTTCTTTTTTGAAATTTGCCTTGATTTCTTCACTTTCTGTTTTCAAACTGGGGTACTGGGCCACAATTTGTTCTTTCAACACACAGACGTTTGTCTTCTCTGACTCGCAATGCGAAGTGGCTGCTGCTCTAAGGCCCATTTTTCTCTCAAACGCAACCTGAAAGAGCTTTCCCTCTAATTCATCGACGGGCTGTGTGTTTTCCAAAATGGAATCCAGGTTGTTAATGAGTCTCCAATTTTCACTCTCAAGAAAGGAGAGAAATCTGCCATCCTTGCACAGAGCCTCCTTGATGGTTTCTCCTTTGAAAGCATAAACACAGAGTTTGCAACCTTCTTTGTGAAGTTCTCCGCATTTCACAATCTTTTTACTTCTCTTTTCAATTGCATGAATGTAAAACTTGATACAATCAGCATATGCCTCCTCATGCCGGCCAAATACTTGGTTCTCTTCTTCAGGCTTATTTTTACTTCGGGAAAACGTAATCGCTATGTGGCAGTTCTCAGGAAGACAACTGAGGGGCATTCCAAGGTTTAGGTACCCTTCGATTCCTTCCGTGCCACGCACCAGCATTTCTTTGCCTTGCTTGGTTTCTATATCTTCTTTGAGGGCCTTCAGAGTGTTGAGAGCCATGTATAAGCTACCCCTCTCACAGTGTGTGAGCACATGTTTCATTTCTTCATTCTTCTCTAGGGCAACGTAAATGACCTTATTTTGGAGTGTAGGTGAACGGGATCTTTGAGCCTGGATTTTAGTTATATTTTTCTTAGGTGAACGGGATCTTTGAGCCTGGTTGTTAGTTATCTCTCTTAGATCTTGTCTACATCCCATCCTTACTGGTGAAATATTGGAATTGTCTTCTTGTTCTTTAGGTATCTAAAAATAAATATTAGATATCTTAAAATTGTGAGTGGAACCCTGTTTTGTTTGTTTGTTTGTTTTTTAGGTTTTTGCCACTGGCTCATGTGTTACCCAGAGAAAGAGAAAGTGAGAAATCACCCCCTCAGGGGAGATGGCCATGACAGAATCCTTTCTCTTCCAGTCTTCCTTTCAGGATTTTGACACAAACACACACGTGCCTGGTATGATTTTCAAGCCGCTGGGTCAGCCATGTGGGCGTTTAGTGCCTTAACCACCTGCTGGCCCCTTGTTTCCCTTTTTAATATGTAATTCACTGATTTTTCTATGAGAAACTCAGAATCAGTTTCAAAAGACAAGTAATAGAATTAAATCAGATCTAGAACATAAGCTGAGCTTCCTGTCACATCAGTCAGATGAGCTTTTGATCCACAACACTGCTACATTTTTCTGAGAAACATGAAAGAAGAAACACAACTTTTTTCCAGATATATCCAAAACAAAGATGCCAAAAATCTACCAAGTCTCAAGGCCAGCAGGTGGCATAGTGGTTGGGGGACTGGCTCCCACATGGCCAATCTCAGTTCAAGTCCCGGACTTACCAGCTTGAAACTCAAGCTTGGAGCATGTGATGTGTCCCCAAAATACCAAGAGAAGAAGGGATCAGGATGGATTTCTCACTTTTTGTCTCCCTGGTAACTGCACATACCCTATAGCAAAAATCTCTCTAAGACAACAAACAAAATACTACCAATTCTATCATAGTATTATTTCAGATCTCGTTTATGAGTTTGTTATACAGATTTTACTTTTGCTGAGCATATAATAGATCATACCAAAAATGTTATTCTTGGGACCAGCAGATGACTTAATGGTTACTGGACTCCCATGTAGTTGACCGCGGTTCAAGTCCTGGACCTGGCAGCTTAAACTCATGCCAGGTATAAGTGCATGAGTGCCCAAAATCCCAAGAGGAGAATGGAGGAGAAGGGATTGCAGCATGGCCATGCCCCTGGAGGGTGATTTCTTACTTTCTGTTTCTCTGTCCCTGTCTCTTGGGTGAATGCGCACACACTATAGCAAAAATCTCTCTCTAAAAAAAGTTGTTTAAAACACCAAATTCAAGAACTTTATGTTACCATAATTTGTTAGCCAGCATTAAATGATAAGCAAAATAATTATTAGTTAACTGGTCATAAAAATATACTTATTTCTAATAATAAGTACTTTGAATCACCCAGTATTCATCATACAAAGAATGTAAACTATTTCCTCTACTATGTCAATTAATTACAAAATCCTGTGAAATAAGGGAGAAAAAATATGATCTCTCTGTCTTTTTACAGAGGAAAACAAGCCATAAAGCATTATAAACATATAAGTTATGATTAAATAGATCAGTCATATTTGCAAGGAAATGCCATGAAAAAGTACTAATTTTTTGTTCATAGCTTACTATAACACATTTTATTTGATTTTGTTGTTGCTGTTGTGTCACAAAAACCTTACATTAAAGCCTGCTTTGATGTGATCAATATTTGTATTTTAACTCCTTTTCCCCATGGCTACCCCCCAAAACAGAAAGAATAAGATAGATGAGAAACTCATCTTAACTTATGTAATATTCTCAATATACTGTGAGGTAATTTCTTGGCAGTAAGATCTATGAACTCAGTGCCCAGGATGATTAAGTCTAACATCATTATGTTTGGTAAATAGTAGTTGCAGATATACCTGAGAAAGATAGTGATCAATCTTCATATATTTCCTTTCATTGAATGGAACCTTCTGTGACCTCCGTTTCTTAGAGCTCATGATGGCTTGAAGATGAATGGATGGTTCAGCTGAAACACTAATTTCAAAAAGGTTTGAGTTGTAGCAATATTTTCATAGCTATCATTAATTGTACCGAGGAAACGATCAACTGGGATTTATATCTTACCTTCCCTTTCAGCTCTAACTTTGTCTATCCAGAGATGTAAACTTAGCAGGTAGATAGTTTATCCATCAATTATAATCACCCCAACAATAAAAGTTCTCTTTTACTGAGCACTATATTTAACACTTTATGAAAACTATCTCAAATTGCTAATCTCCAAAAATACTATCCAAGTAGGTATATCTACTTTTTTAAGATAGGGACCATTTATTTTAGAGAAGGAAAGTGATCTTAAGACTAGTGTTACATGGCAGAGAAAGAATTCAAATACAGGCATAAATGTCCCATAGAAGAGTTTGCCCCCGGGGAATTTAAGTATATTCTAGTTACACTAATGCTAAAATACGTTCTTCACTTAGTATGGAGATGGCAAAGATGGTAAAACTGTATGAACATGGTACAAAAATAACTACGTAGTTCCCTGAAGACAAGTGAAATTTGGAATAAGATTTCAAAAAAATTTAGGAAGTCTGCCTGGGATGATAGTGATATGTTTTCCTCCACATATCCTCTGAAGTATCCCCATGATACAATGAATTTAATGAACAATTTAAAGAGAGAGAATGAACAATTTAAATGAGATGGTGACAGTTTCAATAGTGATAAATACCAATCTGTCTGAAAAATGTCTGGCACATGGAAGGCCATCAATAAAGATACATTTTTAAAGATACATTCAATGAATAAATCTAGTAGACAGATGGTACTGCATACTCTGTTCTAAGTGCTTTTCAAGAAGTACCTCAGATAATCCTTTGAACACTCTGATAGATATTTTCAGTCCCGCCAATAAAGAACTTGAACTGGGCCAATCAGAGGGGGTAGTTAAGATGGCTGGATTTCATATGACTGACTGAGTGATTTGAGTCCTACAGCTGGTGGCTTGAAAAGGATTCTGGGGGGACCAGCAGTTAGCGTAATGGCTATGTCGCTGGACTCCCACATAGTCGACTGCGGTTTGAGTCCCGGACCTGATGGCTTAAACTCACGCTGGGCACATGTGCGTGCATGCCCAAGATCCTAAGAGGAGAATGGAAGAGAAGGGATTGCGGCGTGACCATCCCCCCTGGGGGGTGATTTCTCACTTTCTATCTCTCTGTCTCTGTCTGTCTGGCAAGCGCACGTGCCCTATAGCAAAAAGCTCTCCAAAAAAAGAAAAAAAAATGGATTCTGGGCACATATGTGTGCCCAAAATCCTAAAAGAAGAATGGAGGGAAAGGGACTGCAACCTTGCTGTACCCCATTGGTGGTGCTTTCTCACTTTTTCTCTTTCTCTCTGTCTCTTTCTAGTGAGTGCACACATTCTCTACCAAATTAAAAAGGAAAGAAAAAGAAACAAACAGAGAAAGAGAGAAAGAAAGAGAGAGAGAAAGAAAGGAAGAAAGAAAGAAAGAAAAAAATATTTGAACAGCCACAGAGATTAAATTTATACTTAAGGTCAATAAAAACCCATATAGTATGGTTATGAGACTTTTTATAATGAACATTTTCTAAGAGAAAAAAATAGAGGATGGTATAATAAACTTTTTAAATATGTATCATGTAGTGTTAATAAATGTTCATTTTATTTGAAATTTACCTCATCTTTTTATTTCACTAGGTTATTTTATAATTAGAAGTATTGTGACATTTTAACCGTAATTATTAATTTCCATCTCTAAAAATTAAGGACCTTTTCTTATATAATCACAATATTAATTTATTCATACCAAGATCCAATTGAGGTACATAAGTTGGCTTTGATTATATCTTTCTTTTTCATTTTTTGCTAGAGCAACTGTGTGATTTCAAGAGAGAGAGACAGAGATAAGGACAGAGAAAGAGAGGAAGAGGAGAAAACACCTCCCTCCCCAAAGAGAATGATCAGGTAGCAATCCCTTCTACCCCAACTCTCCCTCTTTTTAGGATTCTGGGGACACATGCACATGTGCCCTGCATGTTTTTATGCCTCTGGGTCTGGAACTCCAACCTCAGGGTCAGCTGTGTGGGATCTGGTTGTCCCAACTACTAGGCCATGGAGCTGGCTCAGTCATGTCTTCTAATGTTTTTATTCTAAAAAAGGCAGTGATTTCCTAGAGAAAACGGAGAGATGTCGTCTGTTGCATATTCGCCTCTTGGGTGGCTTCTTTACATTGTTGTTTAATCTGTGTTCTAATCCTTATTTCTCTTGTCAAGTGAAAGCAATGCAAAAATTACGGTTATTTTCTTAGCCATCCTATAATACTATGGAGCAGAAGCTCTGATTGTTTTTTTTTATTTACTGGTGATAAGCTAGTAAGAAAACCTATTTATCCTCTCTGAGCCCTAGTTTCCTATTTTTAAAAGGGGCAGTGATTACAGATGAGATCATGAATATGGAAATGACATATTAACATTTGCTTCTATACAGGCAGCTGGGTTCAAATATTAAGTTGCCACACACTAGCTGCACAAACTTGGTCATACTAATTAATACATAATAAATATTTCATATTATAACATTATAGCATATAACTGTAGCATATAATATGATTAAAATAATAATTAAATCTCTGCCTTATTCCTCTCACTGTAAGATGAGACTAGTGTTAGAATCAACCTCTGTTGTGAATATTTACAAAATATCATGTTTGTAAATAAAACCTTTAGAACAATACCTGATGGGAGTGAGAGAAGAGAGGCTGTCCTTTGCCAACCACCATTTGACTATTGTCCATCCCAAAGGAAGGAAGGAAATAAGGAGAGAAACTCACCTAGGAAATCTGAGGCCCAAACTCCCACTGTGGATACCACACACCCATCCACAGTAGAAAAGGGAAGCTGGCATGCAGTTAACTAGCGTGCCAAAGAGCACACATGAGCACAGAGTTACAGTAACCTATTTCAAAAGAAATAGGAATAAGTGTGCACATTACCAGATTACTAAAAATCAAAGTGGAGTCCTAAAAAATATGAAAAAAAAAAAACAGGAAATACCTTCAAAGGAACAAGATAACTCATCACCAACAATGGATAAAACACAAAAAATCAGAGATGTGTCAGAAAAAGAAGAATCAAACAGAACTTCTGGAGATAAAAAATAAATTCAGGAAATCAAAACCTCCTTTGAAAATATTAACAGCAGATTAAACCATATAGAAGAATATCTGATCTTAAAGACAAAACCTCTGATTTAGCCCAAGTCACCAAAAAGAATGGAAAAGTAACCATTATAAATGAGGACAATGGACCCAGAAGGTAGAATGATGGTTAAGATGCTGGATTCCCACATGGTTGACTGTGGTTCAAGTCCTAGACCTGGTAGCTTAAAAATAATGCTAGGTGCACGTGTGTGTGTGTGTGTGCCCAAAATCCCAGTAAGAGAACGGAGGAAAAGAGATTGTGGCATGGCTATCCCTCTGGGGGTCAAGTTCTCGCTTTCCCTCTTTCTGGTGATCACACATGCCCTACAGCAAAATCCTAAAAAGAAAAAGAAAAAAAAAAAAGGACAACATACAGGAAATCCTAGACACCATCAAATGGCCATATATCTGCATAACGGTATTTCAGTAGGTAAAAATATAGAAAATCTCTTCATGAACTATTATCTGAAAACTTTCTAAATTTAGAGAGGCATACAGACATCCAACTTGAGGGGATAAAAAAAGCACTGAATACATGAAACATAAGAACATTCTCTCCAAGGCACACAATAGCCAAAATAGTCCAAATCAAAGAAGACGATATCTAAATACGGTCAAGAGAGGAATGCCAAGGTAATTACAAAGTTTATGGATTAGGCTAACATTGTATCTCTTCACTGAAATGAAAGGAAGGAAAGATTGGGAAGACATATTTAAAACTCTGATAGAAAAATAATTTCAGCCAAGAATATTATACCTGGCAAGATTACCTTTGAAAGGGAAATAAAACTGAAGTTACAGCCAGATAAATAAAAGATAAAATAATTAATTAATACTAGACCACCTCTTCAGGAAATAACTAAGGATATATTACTTCAGGAAAACTAAACAGAGATAAATAGAAGCAAGAGAACACAAAGTAACCAGAGAAAAAGAACAACAAAATGACAGGACGAGACTGTTATCGATAATAACATTGAATACTAATGAATTAAATTCCCCATAAAAGATACAGATTGGCTCAATGGATTAAAAAAAAAAAAAAAGGGAACCCTCTATATGTTGCTTACAAGAAACACATCTTTGGATGACCAAGACATACATAGACCAAGAGTAAAGTGCTAGTAAAAATTATTTCACGCAAACAGAAATTATGAAAAGGTCAGAGTACTGATATTACCAGACAAAATAGACTTTGAGATAAAAATGCTAAAGACAGACAAAGAAGGACATCATATAGTTCTAAAATGATTAATTCACCAAGAAGATTTAACAGTTATAAAGATTTGTGTCCCAACACTGGGGAACCCAAATAAGTAAAAGAAGGACTACTCAGTCTAAAGGGAGAGATAGACTGCAATACACTAACTGTTGGGAATTTCAATGTCCCACTGTCACCACTGGATGGGTCATCTAGACAAAAAATAAACAAACAGACATAGGAGATAAATGATATCATAAATTGAATGAACCTGACAGACATGTACAGCATATTTCACCTAAGAACCATAAAATATACTTTTTTCTTATCTCCAAATGGAGTATTTTCAAAGATTGATACATAGTAGTGCACAAAACAAGCCTCTACAATTTTCAAAGTATAGAAACTATATCCAGCATCTTCTTAGACCAAAATGGAATTAAACTTGAAATCAACCACAGAAAGAGCCCTCAAATGATGTTCTAGCAATCAATGCTCTCTCTCTCTCTCTCTCTCTCTCTCTCACACACACACACACACACACACACACACACAAATGTGGCAAATAAATAACTCGATGTTGGAGGAAAATCAATAATAAAAATCCCAAAAAATACCAGAAGAAATAATAAAGATTAGATCTGAAATAAATGAAACAGAGAATAAAAGAACTACACACACAGACACAAACATACAGCAAGAAAACAATATTTTTCTTTTTTTAAAGAATTATTTTATTTAACTTTATTTATTTGTTTATTTATTTTTAATTTGACCAGAGAGGGACAGAGTGAGAACAAGAGCTGGAGAGAAAGTAAGAAAGCAAGCTGCCCAGCCTAAGACTCAAACTGCAGTCAGCCATGTGGGAATCCAACACCATTAACCACCATGCCACCTCCCTCCCCACAAAAAAATTTTTGAAAGACGCTTTTTTTGCCTTAAGGTGCATGTCTGCCCCAGATAGAGAGAAAGACAGACAGACACAGTGAGAGGGAAATTCAGAAGCTCCCCTCTCCCAGGGCCAGGCCACAATTCCTTCCACTCCTTTCTCCTCTGGGATCTTGGGCATCCACACATATGTGTTTGGCATGATTTTGAAGTCACCAGTCTGGGACTCAAACCATGGTTGGCCATGTGGGAGTCCAGCAACATAACTTTTACCCCATCTGCTGGATCTAGAAGAGCTGGTTTTTTGAAAGATTAAACAAAATTGACAAATTATTAGCTAGAGTAAACAAGAAAAACAAAGAAAGGAACCAGATAGATAATATCAGTAACAAAGCTGGTATATTACAACCAATACATCAGAAATACAAAAAATTATGAGAGAATACTACAAGTGAAAATTTGCCAACATACTAGACAACCTAGATGGGATGGACAAATTTTTGGAAATGTACAAATCATTTAGGCTAAATCAGGAAGAAACAGAAAACCTGAATATACCCATAATGAACAATGAGATTGAATCAGTAACAAATACTCTCCCAACAAAGAAATGCCCAGATCCCAATGGTTTCACTTCTGAAATCTATACAGTTTTTAAGAAGAGCTAGTCCTAATTCTCCTCAAACTATTTCTAAAGATCTAAAAGGAAGGAATCCTTCAAAACTCATTTTATTAAGCTTCTATCACCTTCCATCTAAAAAGCAAAGACTACAACAACAGAACAACAAAAATACAAAAAAAAAAAAAACCAGAAAAACTACAGACCAATATCTCTGATGAATACAGATGCTAAAATCCTCAACAAAATACTAGCAAACCAAATCCAAGAGCACAATAAAAAAGTTGTACACTACAACTAGGTAGGTTTTATCCCAGGGATGCAACAATGGCTAAACATACACAAAACAATAAATTTAATGCATCGCATTACAGAAGGAAAGATAAAAATCATATGATCATATATACTGACAGAGAAAAAGCATTTGGTAAAATGCAACATCCCTTCATAATCAAGACTCTCAGCAAAATAGGTATAGAAGAGACATTTCTTTCTTTCTTTTTTTTTGTTTTTGTTTTTTGAGAGGTTTTCGCTATAGGGTACATGTGCTCACCATACAGACAGAGAGAGACAGAAAGACAGAAAGCGAGAAATCACCCTCCAGGGTGGATGGTCATGCTGCAATACCTTCTCCTCCATTCTCTCGGGATCTTGGGCACGCACGCACATGCGCCCGGCGTGAGTTCTAAGCCACCAGGTCCGAGACGTGAACTGCGGTTGACTACGTGGGAGTCCAGCGACATAGCCATTACGCTAACTGCTGGTTTCCAAGAAGAGACATTTCTCAATGCAAAAGTAATATATAATAGATGCATTACTAGTATAATACTGAATGGGGAAAAGCTGAAAGCTTTCCCACCAAAAACTAGAACAAGACAAGATGCCCACTGTCTTTACTCTTTTATTTATTTATATATTTTTCTATAGGGCGCATGTGCTCATCAGAGAGACAGAAAGCGAGACCTTGCTCCCCCATACGCCCTTGGTGGATGGCCATGCCACAATCTCTTTTCCTTCAGGATTTTGGGCATACATTCATATGTGCCCAGCGTGAGTTTCAAGCCTCTGAGTTCAGGACTTGAGCAGCAGTTAGTCATGTGGGAGTCATTACGTAACCATTATGCCATCTGCTGGTCCATGTATTTCCTTTTTAACACCACCCTTGAAGCTCTAACCAATGCAATTAGACAAGAGAGCAAAATAAAAAGCATTTGGATAGGCATAGAAGAAGCTAAACTGTCTCTATTTGCAGATGATATGATTATGTAAATAGAAAATCCAAAATTACCCATGAAAAAACTCCTAGAAGTGATAAATTCAGTAAAGTAGCGAGATACACAATCAATATACAAAAATCAATAGCATTTTTATATACAAACAATAAACACACCAAGACAGAATTGAAGAAAGCAATCTAATTTATAATAGCTACAAATAAATAATAGACGTAGGAAAAAACCTACACCAAAGAGGCGAAAGACCTCTATAAGGAAAACTATGAAAACCTCGGGAAAAAAATTGAGTATATCACACACACACACACTCACACACACACAAAAGGCAAAGACATCCCTGTTCTTGGATTGGAAGAAGCAATAGAATCAAAATGTCTGTTTTACTCAAAGTAATTTACATATTTGATGTGATTCTTATCAAATTACCAGTGACATTCTTCACAGAAATGAAAAAGCAAACATAAAATTATTTATTTATTTATTTATTTATTTATTTTGGAGAGTTTTTTTTCGCTATAGGGCGCGTGCGCTTGCCAGACAGACAGAGAGAAACATAAGAGACAGAAAGAAAGAAGTCACCCCCCAGGGGGGATAGTCACGCCGCAATCCCTTCTCCTCCATTCTCCTCTTGGGATCTTGGGCACGCACGCACACGCGCCCGGCATGAGTTTTAAGACACTGGGTCCGGGACGCGAACTGCGGTTGACTACGTGGGAGTCCAGCAACATAGCCATTACGCTAACTGCTGGTTCCCAACATAAAATTATTTTGGAATCATCAAAGATCCCGTATCACCAAGGCAATACTACATAAAAAGAATAAAGTAGGATGCATCTCACTACTTTACTTCAACATATATTACAAAGCAGTGATAATCAAAACCGCATGGCACTGACACAAAAATAGACATGTAGACCAGTAGAACAGACAGATAATCCAGAAAGTAACTCTAGATCATACACCCAAGTGATCATTGACAAAGGGTAAAGACAATGCAGTGGAAAAAAGAAAGCCTTTTCAGCAAATGATGCAGGAAGAACTGGATATCCATCTACAGAAAAAAGAAACTGGGCCCCTATCTCTCATCATTAATAAAAATCAGCTCAAAATGAATCAAAGATCTTAATGTAAAGCCTCAAACTATAAAAATACTAGCAGAAAATTTAGGAAAAGCTCTTGAAGATATTGGAGTAGGCTAAAATTTCTTAAATAAGACTTCTAAAGCCCAGATGATAATCCCCAAAATAGACAGGTCAGATTATATCCATCTAAATTCTTCTGCCCAGCTAGGGAAACAAAAATTAGAGGGAAGAAGCAACCCTTGGAATGGGGGAAAATTTTTGTAAGTCATGTCTCAGAAAAGGAATTGATAACCAGAATATACAGGGAACTCAAATAGCTCACATGTTAAAGAAAAAAAAATCATAATCCTTTTTAAATAGCTGAGAATGCAGGGAAACGTAAATTAGATGTATAGCTGAGGAACTGGGCTATACTGTGAGGTCCTTGAAAGTAGGAACTTAAAGTCCAACAATTAAGAAAATTGTTTACTGTGTCTGTTGATGATGACTCATCTTCGAGTTTAAGAGGACCCAAGTGCTGCTTTAAGAATGGCTACAGAGAGTCAACATGTTCATGTCCTGGACTGGGGGCTTAAACTCACGGGAGGCCTGTGTGTGTGTGCCTGCCCAGGATCCCGGGAGGAGAATGGAAGAGGATTGCAGTGTGTCCCCCCCCCCCGGGGGGGGGGTGATTTCTAGCTTTCTGTCTCTCTCTTTCTGGGGAGCACAGGTGCCTTATACTAAAAACCTCTCTCAAAAAAAAAAAAAAATACGGCTACAAAGATACAGACTAAAGTTTAAAAGAGGAAAATAAAATGGGCAGAAAGAAACACGAATTTTGCAGTCCACTGGCATGTATTTGAGCACTCATAAGGAAGAAAACATCTCAATATCCCCTCTACTTCCCCTTACTATTTCCAGCATCCAGGCTGAATGACTATAGAGAAATGGGCAGTGTCCTTAGCTATTCTATTCCAGTCTGCATGGCAGTTGGAGAAGTCGAGGTTCTACTGACCTAAAGGACTTGCTTGACTTTCTTTACTGAAGGAATAAAGCACTACAGTTTGTCCTTGACACCCCC